TAAGAATAATTTGCACCTCATATGTACACACAGTCTTTCTCTAAACTACTCTAACCAAGTCATCGCCTCTCATCTCTTTAACTTTACCATGCAGTACCTTAACCATAATGTATTGCCAACCCTATGACCACAATCCCTAACGTTAAAGAAGTAGTTCAGTTGCCTAAACATATCAATAATGTGTCATCGTGAGATTTTTTTTTCAACTTTTGAACATATTCATACTCTGTTCTATCTTTGGGTTTGGGTCTCTATAACATTGCTTTACTGTGCGTCAGTCTGACAGCATGTTGTTACTGCAAAGATCATTGTACCTTGTGGTAAAAGTTGACGGCCTTAAGAACCTTACAGAAACACAGAGTTCTTGTAGTACCTATGCTGTGTCATACTACAAATCAAATTGAAAAAATCAGATGAAAATATGCACCTGAGGCATACTGCCAAACTTTGCTCACGGTTGGTTAGAGCAAGGTATTTACTACATTACCTTCTGAGGTGTGAGACTAACATTTCCTCAACAGCCTTAAACTGTCACTGACATTCAGCTATATTTCCCAAAACATCCATAGTATCAATTTAACTCAAAGAGAAATATCGTCATCGCCAACACTACCTGTATACTCAAATCCTTTCATCAATTTCAGGTGTACTTTTCTATGTCAGTGTGAAATTCAAGTAAAAAATGCATAAAATTGTCACCAGAGTCAGCGTGACCAAGGGTTGAATGCTGTAATTCTGTATGTGAGTTTTTCTGGCATATTTGCTTCTCTGCATCACGCTGGTGTCAAACAACCTCAGTGCTTTCAAGTGCCATGTTAACATTACAATGGTATTCACACCACCACTCACACATATACATGAATACTTTAAAAAAAAATCAACATATGTGTTATCAACTATTATCATTCATTTAGATATGACCTGGTCAGGGGTTTCACCATTAAGAGTCGACACTAAAAAAAGTAGAGGTAAACTGAACACTTAAACTTTTGCAGCCACTTGGTAACTTGATTTTCTCATTAGCAGTAATAGAATTTCAAATAGGTTTAAGTCCCTATTTGCTAAATGGAAATCCCCTTCAGCCCTCAATATCAAGTGTCCATCCTATGGCCCCTCAGCAACAAAGCTTGCAATGTCTCAGCACTGTAACCTAGCAACGAGACCCCCACTTATATAAGATCTTGTTTAGGATGTTTTTTTAATTTATTTTTTTAAAGAAGTAACAGCAGATAGAAGAATAATATTTTGTTCATACATTAGCTTTATCCAAAATCTTTGTTTCACTATAGATAATTAACAGTGATACTTGTGAACCGTGAGCATTTTGCACCACAACTGACAGTTACGGAAAGTAAATATCCAGGCACAAACTTTTTAACCAAAGCACTTAATCTGAGTTGAGGTAAACTTTGTAAGGAACTTGCTGTGGTGAGCTCAAAATTCACAATAATAATACACAAATAATTACAAAAAAACCTATAAGCTAACAACAAAATGCACCCTAAAGTGCCAAAGGTTTACCATGCACGAGTCGAATAGCCTCAGGTAGTTAGATTATTGCCTAACTACAATAGCTTTGGAACAGAAGCAGGGGTTACTGTGTGGTGAATAAATTGCTCCTCAGTTTTTCACAGACATCCCAGATGCATAGATGATAAAAGTTTATATTTTATTGTCTAAAGTTTGCCTGTTATGTATTGATCTTTTATTCTGTTTCCCGGACTTGGTTGTTATTCTCAACTGGAGCAAACAGTGTTATACAGTAAAGCAACTGAGCCCGAGTAGCTCTGAGCTGAAAAACTGAAGCCTCTTCATGTGAACCTTTGAAAACCTCTCAGTCCCTGCCAAGGAGAGATAGGATCAGTAGACAACCCCAACATTTTCAATTTTGTGCTATCAGACACTGGGGAGATGTGTCAACAGTGGGGTCCTACAGCAAGTAAACACAGGAGTCTGACAAGCAATAACCTAGATTCAACATCGCCTCCGGTCGTCTCCCACTGAAGGTCCGCCACTTTCATCTCATTTAGATCCAGATCTGTTGATCAAAAATGATGCCTATCCCCCCAGCAAGCAGAAATCTCCAGTGCTGAGAGTGTTTTCATGGGCATTACATACTGGGGTGGTAGCATTTGTCAATCAGAAGTTTTTTTTCTTTGAGCCACAGAGGTTCCAGTTATATGACAATGGATGCTTTTAATGTTGCATTACAATGTATTTGACTATAGGCTATTTCATCTTAATATACAATTAGAGCTGATAAGTGCATCCGGGTTGTAGCACAGTTTTATGGCCTTAATGTTGAGGAAAGATGATTGATGATCACAGTTTTTATTGTAGTGCATGTTGCAGGTTCCAGATCACAATTATATATTTTCCAAACAGTAAAAATTGTTTCTCTTTTTTTTTTTCTTTTTTTTTACTTGATTGTACAATATTTGAGGAGGGAAGAAGAAAAGGAGCAATAATTTGATTATAGTTAATCAGTTTGAAACATATGGTAGATGGTATTCAAAGTGTATGTTCTCAGCAACATTCTCTGTATGGTTGGTCAAAGCAAGTGAGGGCGGCTGCAGCTGAGCTGGACAGAGCTCAATGACAAAAAAAAAAAACCATGTGACTCCAAAAAGTGTTGGGGTGGGTCTAAAGAGGAACTCGGGAAATTGTTGAATCAACTTTTCTTTTGTTCGTTTTTTAGCAGGCATAAGGAGGGATCAGAGGGTAGAATAGTTGGAAGCCCCAGACGACTGAGAAGCCATTACTGTATAGCACAGTCCACTGCAGAAAAGCTCCCTCAGAGATTCAAATCTTGCAGATTAAAATAGTGTCTCCGTATGTGTGTGTGTGTGTGTGTGTGTATGTGTGTGTGTGTGTGTGTACACACACATGCCTGCATGTGCGCTTATTTGAATGTGTTAAAATGCCTTTGTAGGTGGCTGCATGTGTGTCCGTGTGTGTTTTCAGCAGCCTAAATACCGAAGCTTTTAACATCAAAGCAGCGAGAGGATTTAAGTGCCCAGAAACTTGCCAATTATGATTGTAAGTGATGTCCAGCAGGGACTGTTGATGAGCTGCCCTCCACAAAAAATAACTTTTCTTTTTCAAAGATTTGCTTTTTAGTGACGTACTTGGATTGATGATGCACAGCCTCCAATGCACATAAAGTGTATCCTGGCTCCAGACCTATGAATCACTCCCACATCTCATTTTTTGAGTGATTCAAAAAGGGCTGGATTTTTTCCTATGAATTGCTCTTTGAGAAACAACTAGGCGAATCAAAGCCTTTGTGGGTGAGACCCACTCACTGTGCCGAGTTCTGTCGGGAAATATTAAACATAGTTGTGGTCGACAGCTTAATCACAACTCACGAATAAATTTAACTGTGTCTTACTATAAAATAAACAAACTTTATTGTTTTAAAAAGTTGAGTTTATCATGCGCTGTAAACAGACTCAACAATGCAAGTGTTATCAAATACCAGCCAATATACAAATTTAGGTTTTATTTTGAACTGTGTGCAATTGTGTGTGTCTTGTTTCATACTTTGCTTCTGGCATTTGGGGATTTCATGAACAGCTTCATTATAGAGCAATTCGATCGTTCTTGGAAGTTCATAAGCTTGCGCCAGTTTTTACCATTAGTGGTGAAATGAGATGGGAACCTCCAAATGTCAGACTTAAATGTGAGATGATTTGAGTTTGGAACAGACTTGTGAATATGCCTCAACAGTAGCTGACAATAAAGATCTTCAACGCATGAACACTGCTCGCTTAGTGAGGTGAAATCTTTACTTTGTACGATTGATTTATTCTTTTATTCTTCAAAACAAATTGCAGTGTAATATTCATAATGCGTACAGCAAATTGTTCCTTATGTAAAAGGAAAGATGGTCTGTGGATGTTTGGTACAAACCTAAATTACAAGCATATTGTCCAATGAAAAACAGTTACACTGTAGAGCCTCGTGTGGAGCAGAATTGAACCAAATGTCAAAGATCTCTGTGCACAATTACGTTCAGGTACATTACCATTAGCAGTAGTGACAGGCAGGTTTACTGGTGTCCCTGAGGAGAACAGACTCTGTTTGCTGTGTGACTCAGGTGAGATTGAAGATGAAGAAGTTCATTTCATGTTTTATTGCTCATTTAACAATGATTTAAAGGTGACTCTTTTTGGTAAAATGTCCTTCATTTCTGATGAGTTTTTCTGGTTGAATGAATACAAAAATCTTGTGCTGTATTTCAGGAAGAGAAGCTTTTGTGTGGCTGATTTTATTTGTAGAGCCTAGGGCAGGATGAAGGTTTTGTTTGGAATACAATGTAAGAACCTGTGTTCAAGTTTGACAAATGTTTCATGACACACTCACCAACTAACTAATGAATGCAGCCTGGCAATACAGGCTGATTAACATTTAGTATTAACATTTAGTACTAACATTTAGTGTAGTAAGCTACAGTATTTATCATGATAGCAATGAATGCAGCCCTTCATTTCTATTTTCCCTTACATTATCATGACAAATCTGTAGTTAAATGTTAGTTCTGTGTGACAAAATGATAGAAATGAAAAAATATTTGACTCAGGCTGGGAGCAGGATGTGGTAATAAGTTTGCCAGCTAGTTAGCTTGCTAGCCTAAGAAAGCCAGCAGGCTATAGGGACTTACTGTTGAAAGTAGTAGTTTTTAGCTTCAACTACTACTACTACTTTTGACCTAGTCTTGTCTTTTCTGTAAACCTGCTTTACTTATTCTTACTGTACACTGGCTAATGCAGCCTCAGTGAGATTTTAACTAAATTGATGGGTCAGGTAAGTATAGCATGTAACTCAAAACTTGAACGCAAACCACATCTCCCTGTAAAGATATCCATCCTACCTTCCTTTTCTCTCTAATGTAATATTACATACAGATGATACAGCTGGATGAACCGGAGGTTGCAGATTTGAAATGCTAATCTTGTTTCTGTATTTTTTTTTTTTTTTTTATTATTTCTCATTTCCAGTTCCTCCCAAGATATATGACATTTCGTCTGACATCACGGTAAACGAGGGCAGCAATGTGTCGCTCATCTGTACAGCCAGTGGGAAACCTGAGCCAACCATTTCCTGGAGACATATAACCCCATTAGGTGAGTTCACTTCACCTCTCACATACCTATGCTAATGAATGGGTGGATGGATAAATAGATGAATGGACAAATGGATGGATGAATAGAGAGAGGAAATGAGGAGGTATGGACAGGATCAATAGGTGGTAGAATGAGAAGGAGAGAGTACTGGTAGTTATGTTGCAGATGAAGAGATGGAAGGGGGAAGGGATGCAGTGAGAGATGGATGTGGTTGGATTGATCCATGAGAGAAGGGGGGAGGGTTGGTGGTGGATGTAATAATAAATTCACGTGAACATGGAGTATTATGGAAAGAGTAAGACCTGAGTGCATAGTGAGGTCCTGAAATGACATTGCCATCTTGCTTCATGTATTTAAGGGCTGAGGCACTGGCTAATTCATTGTGTCTCTGTGATATTAGTTATAAAATACCCACTGTCACACAAGCCTCTCCTCAGATGTAAATAGCTGAAAGGATGCAATGGGTAGATTATTTGGGGAATTATTTGCTTACATCCCGAAAAACTGCATGTATTCCCACTCAACCTCTGCTTGACTGGGGGTGTGTATGGAGCTAGCTTTACAATTAAATAATTAAGAAAAAACGATTATATACAGCATGTGTCGTTGGTTAAGAGCAGTTACTGATGTGTCCACGCCTCTCCACCATATTGATGTACTTTACCCTGAGTTCAGGTTCATCAGTAGACTGCTCCATTATAGATAATGGAACCTGTCTACTTCATGCAGCCACAGGAAACACCACATTCTACTGCATGCTGCATTTGAATGTTAAAGAAAAAAAAATACTGGTTATTTACTACAAGTTATTTAACAAATCTACAGTATATGCAGTTTCTGAAAGAATGTTTTTTGAAAAAAAATATTTTAAAAAGCAATAGCTAACAAGCTAATGTTTTGTTGGTGGTTTTAAAATGAAATTAAATTCTATCGCGGATATGTTAGTATCTGTATATGTTTCATAGCTAGCTAGATAGAGTAGAGAATACACAGGTTAGTAGACAGGACAGCAGACATTTTTCCAGTGACTTCACTCATTATGTTATTTTTGATATACCCTAAATATAAAGATAAATTTATCATCTGTGAAGATTAAGTTGTGTAGAATAGAATATAGAACAGAACCTATTGTCTCCACTGCAATGGACCAGCGACCTACTGACCCACACACATTCACATGCACATTCAAATTTATTCAACCGAAAAGTGACAGCTCTAATGTACTGTGGTAAGTCTCGGTTTCTGCAAATAAAACATATCTGCTCCTTCTCACCTCCATACTTCTATACTTTTAAAATGAGACTCTTCAGTTCACAAAGAAGAAAAGATACTTCAAGCTATACTCAATACAATAGTTAATGTATTACAATCACACATTCTGCCACTAAATCAGACATGGTGATAGCGTATTGAGGATTTCTACTATAAAAATTGCAGCTCTCATCACCGCAAGAAGAGCTCCAATTTAGTTTGGCAGTTTGTAAACTATCATTTAGGTGCATTATCAAAGAATACCCTTATTGTTATCATTATAAATTATTTGAATGGCTGCTAGTCTGGGACACACATACGCCATTAAATGCTTTGAATCCTCCCTTTGAAAACTCATTCCAAAGCATTTAACTGTTGCTGCAAAGCCCCCACCCAGCCACTTCTAGTCCTCCCTCATTTTCATATTAATGGATTAGAGCATGCTGTTCTTATCTGATAGCTGTGAGGAGGACTGCATTTATCTTATGGCTGTCAAATCCTCCTCTCTGGCGTGCATGCCCTGATTGCGTTAGGGGAGTTTCAGAAGATGATCAAAAGAGCCATCCTCAGAGTCCGAATGGCAGTCACTCATTCTACTTTGAAGTGTCCACACTTTGAAGTATGCCACAGAAGAAATGATATGCTGGTCAAATGAAAGGGCCCGGTACTAAATGTAATCACAGACTGTCTCCCAGCACATCAGAAAAGAAGCTATTTGCAGTGGGATCTTTGAGTCGGTTATTGTAGTGAGGGCGATTTGTCCAAAGGACGTTGTACAGCTGAAAGGTTGTAATAGGCTAATTACCTATCGATGGAATTCCATTAAATGTGTTGGATATGCAGAGCAGTGTGCCCCAACCAGTGAACAGGCAACCTGAATATGCAATCACAGCATATGGAAATATTTATCTCAGTTATGAATGACTTATCGAATAGCAGCAGACCTTAAGTGAACTATCATGAACTGTAGTACTTTGACTGCCATTAACACCAAAAAAAAAATTTCACTGTCTAAAATACCGAACGATCATTAATTGCAGGAAATTAAAATAGTCATAACTGATCTTGTTATTAATAAAATGTAACTATTGTTGCAGATAGATGGGAATGTTGGAAAAATATATTATCATTTGTTTTGAAAACTGGTGTTTGTTGGCAACTAAAATGCTTAGAGAATATTGGTCCAACCAAGATTAGTTTGTTTTTTATTTGGCAGTCAGTAAAAGTTTCTGCAATATGAGAACACATAAGGAAATGCAAATACAGAAATCCAAGTTTAACATAATGGAAAATCCTGAGGTTGAGCCAAAAGCTGATGAAAACATCAACCACTCCTCAATGATTGAGTGTTGTGTTCCTTAATTTAGTTATGTTTGATCAGTTTGCAGCATTTTTATTCTAGATGCTGATTAAGTGTCAAAGTGGTGAAGATGTTTTCTTCCTTTGTGTTTTGTTAATTTGCATGTTTTTTCTTCAGCTGCATTGTGTTGAGCTTCGCCTGGCCACTGTATATAAGGATCCCCTTGTAAAACACTGTGATGTGGTTATTAATTTAATACAGCATTATTTGAATTTGTAACACAATCTGTATGAAAAACTAAGGATCTCTAAATAGGATAAAACATTTTCAACTTTCATGACGCATTCACAGTCAAACTTGTAAGGTATCATGAATCAAAGAAAATCATGACAAAATGAACATGCCTAGCACTGAGATTTTGTCTATTTGAATTTGGTAGGATAATCATAATCATTTGATGACACTGAGAGAGAGATGTTAGTATCGTGATACAGTGTGCAGTCGATTGTTGAAGATCTATGGCACATACATGCATCTGCAATAAACTGCAGGCCACTACAGCTCACTTGTACCGGAAACACTGGTTTTATTAACTCCAGTAATGTATCTTGAGCATTACACAAAGTGCTGTCAACCAATCTACCTCACTCACTTACAGGTCATAACAGCGTGGCTGCTTATTCTAGCTCGTCGTAGCTGGCCGTCTACTTTGACATTCTTTCCCTCCCTCTTTTAACCTCATACAGCCCGCTGGCCCATGCAGGGGCCCATTAGAAGGTTCTGAACAAGTTCTGATGTAGTAAACACTTAAACTTTTGTCCATATAGACAGGCTGTACCTCCTTAGGTGTACCAGTGGAACATGGTGACTGCCTACCTTTTATACGTGTAAAACTCAGATTCTCGCTCTGTTCCTCCATTATTTGTATTGTTTTAGTCCGTAAGGGCCCACAGATCACAAAAATCAAGAGTTCCTTATAAAAGTAATCTAGGCTATGAATATCGTCATGAGAAGTCCAAAGCAGACGACTGAGCGATAGGTATCCGCTATTCTTCCCTCACTTCTCCTCTCTCTCTCTCTCCATTCGGCCCCCGTCGGCGGGTCTGGTATTGTTTGTTAGCTTTCTGGCTACAAAGCGGAGGCCTCCACGTAGCCAGCACGTAATGATGCGTTCTTTTTGATTGAAAAAAAAAAAAAAAACTTTTTCCACAGCTTTTCTTAATGACTAGCTTGTAGATAGACGTATCCCCTGACCAATCAGAGCTAAATTTTGTCCGACTTTAGCCGGCGCTGCGCAATGTCATCATGTCATATGACATTCAAACCTCGCGGGAGCAAGGCACCTTCATCTAGAGTCAGGCGGCTGCAGTTGCTCTCCACCCGCTTTTTTTTTTTTTTAATTAATAATTCCGTTAGATGTACAGAATAAGGCACAAAAGAAGTAGCCCAACATAATTAACAAAGACAAACAACAAATATACACAGTGCCATGGATTATATGCAGAGCTTGACACAATCAAATACAAACTGAACGTTGTACAGTAAAAAAGATATTTCAAAAAAATATTAAAAAATTATATTAATATTTTAAAATTGGAGCACAGATTGAAGGTTTTCACAACTTTTCGATGACATGAGGTAGATAATGTTCTGATGTAGGACTCTGCTTCCTTCATAAAAGTACAAAAAGAGTCTTTAGGTTTTAACACCTTACATTTATGGATATAAAACTTAAGACATTAAGTAGTATGATGAGATTGCACAGGAAAATTGTTTTCTAGTTCTATTGTATAATTTGTGAACCCAAACAATACATCCTTTAAACAAAGTAAAAAAGCATCATAGATAAAGTTCAAAATGAAGCGCAGATGCCTTGTCACAGATTACGAGTGTGTCCACCAGTCCAAAACAGATGAAAGACAGTCTCTGGGTGCATGTCACAAAAAGTGCAGCTTACGTCAATGTCTTTCTTGAATCTTACTAAAAATTATTTGACAGGATAGCAACAATGCATGATCTTAAAAGAAATCTCTTTAACTTTGTTAGCTAGTAGAAATCTGTTTGGAAGAGTCTATGTCATGTCCCAGTCTATATCCTGAGCAAGTCCACTCCAGTAACTACAAATTACAGTAGGAACACAGAACAAAGTAAAATGATGAGATTAGTCTGCAATATAATTTACGTTTTATTATATTACAAGAGTTAGTTCACATTTTTACTTAACCCTTTTTCCAGTAAGCTATTTATAGTGTTGTTTTACCTTTTGAAACCAATGTTTATTTAAGTATCTGATTATACTTGAATACAAGTCTAAACTATTTCAGAATTCTTGTTGAATGGTCATACTTTATAAAATTGCGCACTTGATTAAAATCTGTCTGAAAAGGTACTTTGGCCTAAATGGTCTATTTTTCTTTTTTGCTTGTAGGGCTCTATTTTTTTGAATGGG